CTAAAAGAGCACTGTGGACAGACTGAATGCCGCAGCCTAACAAAAACCCAAGGCGGCACACTGCATGAATGTAAATCAATTCGAAGAATCACTCAAGAAATCGAATTGAATAGCGGCACCTTTTCTGGTGCGGGAAACGTATTCGGGGGGTGGTCAATGAGAGTGCATGGTCTAGGCGGCGTAACCTTCTTGCCATGCTTTGGCCTCTTCGACCCACGAGTGACCTTGGAAACAGGCGAAGCGATGCAGCCTGCACAGTGGTGAGGAGTGCTCGGAACCGGTGGCCTCGGTTGGCAGAGACGATCGACGTGCGCAAGCTGTTTTTCGGGGTTGGCAGCGACAAGTTTAGGTGGAGGTGGTCTATCTGGGGAAATGTGCGGGGGTGGCCCTGAATACCTGTCACCAAGAATTTCATGGAGAATTACAGCGGCACCTTGTTTCATATAAACCGCAACACCATCTGCACGTCCCTTGGAGCCGTCAAGTTCACCATTTTCGTACGTGGCAGGTAGACCGTAGCCGTGACCATTGCCATAAAGATTTGGCATGCAATCTGAGATGCCGCATAGTATACGTCCTCGTTGATCAACTTGAATCTGACCCTGGGCAGTACGAAGGCAAACCTGTACGCCGTGTTCGTCTAGGATAGGAAGCGTGTGTGACTTATATCCCACTGCCCATACGATGACATGTGCTTCATCAAAGCAACGCGTGATGAGACTCTTACTACCGCCTGGCTTGACCTGGCAAAGGCGTACACGTGGTTCACGCCCGCGTATGACATCATTGAAAAAGTTCTTTGCATCACCGCGGAGGCCTGCAAATGCGTGAACCTGCCCGTGGCGATTCGTCTGCTTATAGTCCCTGTAGCCGTCAGCATCTGCATCACGCTTCGAGACATAAAAGACACGCACTGGTGAACGATGCAAGATATTGAGAGAGAGGTGGATTGTTGCAGCTTGAGGTAAGGCCGCGGCGCATGGTAAACTGGATGGTGCAACAAGTTGAGTGCGTGCACAGCTGATTTCAAGGGGAGGGAGAGGTGCAAGCGTAACATCACTCGCATTCGGGGCGAATCCGATAGATTTCAAACTCTCGTCAGTGGGAGGTGATGATGCAGAGCTCTGATCAGTGCGATCTCTGATCTGCTGCTCGACACAGATTACAGATGTTGATTCCAAATTCGTCACAACTGGCGCTGTTGTGTTAGACCCAAGACTGCGGTGTGGGGACTTGGCAGCAGTGTGGGTGTTGTGGATGGATGAGACTGCAGAGGTGGTATTCAGGATCTCACACTGCGTTGATTCGCCGCGCAGACATAGCCAGGCCACAGAGAAAGCCGAATGTGCACCACCAACAACACAGACCTTTCCATGCTTTGGCCCTAGTTTTGCACGTATCATTTGTAGCCCTCCCTTGGAAAGAACATCATTGGAGCAGACCACCTTGGTCTGGTGATGTCGCTGGTTCAATCGTGGTGCTTCCTGGAAAGCACCTAGGGCGAGAATAACATGCTCGGCATAGATGGAATGATGCATACCGCTCCCATCACTGCTCTCTAACTCTATGTGCCAGAGCTGTCCCGTGCGCTGTAATCTTAATGCTCTCATCTTACAGTAACACTTGCTCGTTGGAGTTTGACGAAGTAGGTCAGCGAATATTTGAGCAACCTGGCCCATGAATTTGGCGATCACAGCCAGTGGTGCTGGCGCAGGCCCCAATGCAAGAAGCTGCGCCACGACTGCACTATGACGCAAAGATTCCAATACTGTACCAGTCGCACCCTCATGAGGTACCGTCCCAGGTTTATCCCCCAATACATGGTGGACTAGCCTAGAGGCGAATGTGTTTGAACGGATTGCGTATGCCCCAAGTTGTCCGTAGCCGAGAGACTCGGAAGGGCCTGCGTCCACCTAAAGGGAGGGTTCTAGAAGCAGAGACAAAAACTAATCAAGCTCAGCAGTTGGGCACCAAGCACATGCCGTTGGTGGCACCGACCGGCTGGCCCGGTGAGAATTTTCCGTCATCAGCGACTGACCTTCCGTTGCCAAGCAAAGACTCAAGCAAACCAAGGCGCGCCGCGCGAATCAGAACCTGGAAGAAAAAGTCTACATTGGGATTCTGCTTGTACTCCGCTGACCGCACCCCGACACCTGCTGGCCCACCGCCTAGGATTGCGACCCTGAATTTCTGATCCCGGTCACTGGCACTGTGCCCATCGCAGACTAGAGGGGAAGGTGGTGAGAGTGAACAGGACGTCATCTCAAGCCCCGTTAGAAGCCTTGTCAAAAGTACATGTGGCGGGGACGAGTAAGATACAGACTTTACTTGGTTCTTGAACCCTGGCAATGAATGGTAGCACTGCAAGGACAGCGTTACCACCTTTCAGATGCACAACAAGAACCAAGCAAGCTGGCGGTGATGGCGCCGAGATAGAGCCCTCCAAAGGTAGAGAGATAGAGAGATTTCTATCTTCATCTTCAGTGAACAGTGAACTGCATCTTGATGTTGCAGTGCACCTTACCCCACTGCGCTCCTACTGCGTATCCTGCTAGTTTTCCTTCCCTTCCTTAATTCATTCTAATCCAGTTTTAAGTCTTATAGACAGCGAACTGAAGGAGTGACTGCCAAGCAGACACAGAGTGCATAGCGCTCTTCTGTGTCTGTGGTGTCTGTCTGGTTAACGTCACAGCGACGTGCCAGGTAGCACCAGGCTCAGCGAGGTTGCACAGTCGCCGGACAGTGCACCTGCTGGATAGTAGTTTGACTGACGTCACAGCGACGTTAGGAAGCTAGTAACTATCCTAACTTTCTAGGTGTGGGCCGACGCTCGGCCTCCTGTGAAGCCTCGCTTCATCATATGCAAAACTAACCCTTGACGGAATAAACTTCACAATCTATGATGAATTTTGGGATATTGATGGCTCGGAGCGCACAGCTTATATTGAAGGAGATGCAGACCTTTAAACGAATGGCTCGCATCGTTTATGATATATACGTTGGGCAATTATAATCACTACGGCTCATTTCCTATATGTTCTTCTCATTCTAACCCCCGGACGGAACGAGAACCTTTTTTAAGACGAAGCTATGGTTCGAGCGTCTTTATCAGCCCACAGCCGCGCGATAATGCGGAATTATGCAACGATCCCAGCAGCTTCGTGCTCCGCTAGTGTGAGCCCGAAGCACATGCGTAGACGCGAAGTGCTGCCAATCGCATGGTGACTCAAACGGTCCTTCGGGGGCTGGGATGGGGCGCGATTGATCCCCTCGACTCCTTTTTCATGTCTGTCGAACTCTCGCAGCATCGGGGATCGTGTATCATCGCCCCAGTCGATTCCCTTCAGTAGGGCTGGGTTGGTCGGTCGCTCGGTCGTCGTCGTCGTCGTCGCCGCCGCCGCCGCCGCCGCCGCCGTCGTCGTCGTCACGCGCGCGTGGAGATTCGAACCCACAATCAAGGGCAACGGATGTCCGTAAGTAGCATCTTAATTCCACCCGGGAAGGGCAAATTCGTACATAAACCACACGAAACGACCGTCGACCGAGGGGCTGCCCCGTTCGACGTGAAGATCGCCTTCTTAGTACCGACTAAGACGACGCGCGCACGATTTCGCGGACGCTGAGCCTCACTGCGCGATTAGTCGGTACTAAGAAGATCTCCAGACCCGCCCCCGGGGCCCCCGGTCGCAGCCCATAACGTGCGCAGGAGGTGCTTCAACGCGATTCAATTTAGCGTCCGAGGGTTAGAATGAGTTCTTTTCTCTTCTCTAGGGGTCAAAATTAACTCCGATATGCTTTATCTGGGCATTCCTACTCTCCAAATATCTCTATCTCTCTATCGTCTCCGAGCGCGCTTGATCGCCGCGTCGACCTGAGCATGGGGGAGGCGAATAGGACACTTTGACCCGGGTTGTTCCCACCCCTCAGAAACCGACGCGTTTGATCGCGTAGGACAGGCCCTCGAATTAAGTGCGAACATTTTTCTGTGAGATTCATGGCTTTCGTCCCGCCAGCACTCTGGAATTTTCCACCGCGCGTCGCCATCGGTAAGATTTTGCTTACTTTCAACAGGAACCGCTTCCGACGGCGGGCGCCGTAAGCTCACCGCGGCCGGTGAGTTAAGTGTGAGGACCCCGGCTCGTAGTAAAGCAAGGCGTTTGGGTTAATTTATTGAAGTAGTAATCGGAAACTTCATCGAAATCGTACAAAACTGCATCGTCCATATATAGAAGGACGAGCTGTGCGTGTTTGGTTCCCCCGCCGTACGAAAATTAAATGGCTGTCGTCGCGCGAGCGGTGCAGAGGGAAGCATTGACACGGGAATGAGTGGCTCAGCGCGCGCGCGAGCGCGCCTAAGTTCGAAGGGCGCGCTCGCGCCGCGCCGCAGGCAAGCCCCCAGGGGCAAGATGCCGTAGGCGTCTTGTTTCGACCGACGGATAACGCTGAGATGATGTGATGCGCCAGCGCCGCGCCGTTTTTGCGCTAGGTGGTGCACGAAAAGCGCGCGTGCTGCGCCGGACAGCGACGACGGGGTTCGGGAGCGCAAAAATTCCTGCTGGCGGCCTTTCGCGGCGAGACTGTCGATCATTGCGACTGCGGGGCGCGCCCCCACTCGATTTTTGCATCCCCGGGTTCATATACCGTGATAGCATGGGGCAGCTCATCACCTCTCTACGGTCGCCCTGCGACTGAATTAGGTTCGAAACTCCCCGCGCGCGCGACGACGACGGCGGCGGCGGCGGCGGCGGCGGCGGCGGCGGCGGCGGCGGCGGCGGCGGCGGCGGCGGCGACGACGACGACGACCGACCGACCGACCGACCGGCCCAGGAATTTGGTGCCAGGAACTCGCCCGGGACCTCGGGGAAGTCACCCGAGGTCCCCCCGAGTACGCCCGAGTAGGATTTAATCAAAGTTTACCACCCCGTACCCCGGAGCTCGAGGTCACTCGCCGCGGCCCCGGATCGCCGCTGGTCACCGCAGATCGCCGCGGATCGCTCGGGATCGCGCCGGTTCACTCCGGTCGCCGCCGGGGTCGCAGTGGCGCCGGCACTTAGTTGGGGCGATCCGGCGCGATCCCGGCGCGATCCGCGGTTTGCGGCGGCCTCGGCGATCCGGAGCACAGCGACGCCAAGATACATATCTACTCTCCAAAAATTCTGAACGAAAATTTCAATCACCAAATTTCGAGAGGCGGCGATTAGGACCAAACCATGGCGCGTGTCGTATGCCTGGGGCTGGTGCTTGTAGAAGCTTGCTACGGTGCGTCTTCGTCGGAAGCCAAATCAGCTTCCCTCGCGGACTACGGCAACCTTCGCGGAATCGGCGGGGAGCGCTTAAATATGGTGGACAGGAGCCCCGACGCGGATCTGATGGCAACGTTCGAATTCGAAGATCTTCTGTCGTACTCGTACGATTACGGCGAAGCAAGCCCCGGGGACGCTTCGACAGCACTCGGAGGGTTTGGTGTAGATTTTAACCTCGGGAACATGAATTTTGGCCCGGAGGGCTCTCTGACGAACACTGGCCGGAGAGATGGCTATTATGTCAACGCGGCCTCTTTCCAAGGATTTGAACCCGACGGGACTTCAGGCGTCAGTGTCGCACCCGCTGGCGATGTGGACGGGGATGGCATGGATGATATTTTGATCGGGGCGCCAGGTGTAAAACAAGCATACGTTCTCTTCGGTTCCTCGGGCTACGCTGCGTTTCGACGGCAGCTCACCATGGGTAGTTTCGAGACAGCGATCAACGCACTCCCAGACGACGGTTTCATCATTCTCCGCGAGGACAACGATGACATGGATAGCGCTTTTGGTTCCCAGGTCTCCACTGCCGGAGACATTAATGGGGATGGCTATGACGATGTGCTCATCGCCGCATCCAACGCGAAAGGTTACGGGCGCGTATATGTTTTTTTCGGCGGCGCGCGTACTACGCTTACCGGGCATGGTGCTTGGGATTTGACAAACTCGAAACATTTTCCGTTGGAACGCGGTTTCCGCTTCGAAGGTGACGCAGAGTTTTTGAATTTGGGAGTATCCGTTGCAGGGGGCTTCGACATGAATAACGACGGCTTCGATGACTTCATTCTTGGCGTCATCGGCGGCAGCCACGAGCAGCAGATGGGGGAAGTCATATTGGTCTACGGCACCGACAAATTTGATCGGTCCATTCTACCCATTCGCAACGTTGCTGGTACGGGCGGTTCGATGAATCCGAGAGGTGTTCGTCTTTCCCTCAAAAACAAAGACGGCGCGGGAAAGAGAGCACTCGTCGGCATTGAGTGCGCAGCTCTTGATGATGTTAATGGAGATGGCCATGACGATGTGGCAATTGGTGCATCACAGTATGGAACTGGAGGTGCAGTCTTCGTACTCTTTGGTGGCATTCAGTATCATGGTACCTTTTATCTGGATGAAATTGACGGCACGGATGGTTTTGGCATCCTAGGTGCCAACAAGGGGGACAACCTTGGAGGCGATGTCAAAAAGGCGGGTGACTTCAACGGGGATGGCTATGGCGACATTGTCGTCGGTGCCCCAGCATTTGAGCATCGTCGTGGCGCTGCTTACATTATACTCGGGCGCAAACATTTCGGTCCGACGGCACATGCTGACATCACACTCCGAGGCGACGCATTCCAAGACATAACCGGGTACTCGGTGTCTGGCGCGGGAGATGTTGATGGCGATGGCTTGGATGACGTACTGGTCGGGTCCTTCAGTGCTTCTCCTCAAGGCCGTGACATGGCTGGGACTATCTATTGCGTTTTAGGGGGGACCAAGAAACAGGGCATCTTCGATCTTGCAGATTTGAACGGTTTTGATGGGTTCAAGATGTACGGTGAGCATGCTGGCGACTGCGCCGGGTACGATGTCGCCGCAGCTGGAGATTTCAATAACGATGGTGTCGACGACTTGGTTGTTTCTGCTATGCTTTCAAACGCGGGGGAGGTGGACGGAGGAAACACATATGTCATCTTTGGATCCCAATTTGATGCCAAGGTACCTACCACTATGCCCACGGGTCCGTCCAGCATGCCGACTCCGGCTCCTTCCCACTCGCGCGACTCGCTCGGCAGCGGCAAACTTCCCTTTCCGGCAAGGTCTCCCTTGGGTTCCATTGAAGAAAACCATGCGGGTGCCATGTTCCACGGCGACAAGACCCTCTCTTCTGTGGTGTTTCCAGGAGATGTCGATGGTGACGGTATTGATGACATTCTCGCAGCTGCTGATGGGGATGCCTATGTCATATACGGGGCGGCCGATGACGACCTCTACGCTGCATGGTCAGGTGAGCTGGACATGATACCGAAGAAAAAACCGGATGGGACCTACGGCGCAGCCATCATCGCGGATTGTGACATTGAGGTCGTCTCAAGTGCGGGGGATTTCAATGACGATGGTTTCGAGGACATGGCACTCGCTTGTCCATCGAACGCCGACGGATCGGGCACGGTTTTTATCGTATTTGGTGGCGACGCTATCAAAGCATCTACCGAACTGTCAGATTTGGTTCGGGGCGTTGATTATGTTGAAATCACTGGAGGAGCAGAGAGCGATGCGTTTGGCTCCTCGCTTTCGTACCTCGACTTCAACGCAGATGGGTACACGGACGTCGTCATTGGTGCTCCAGAGCGGGATCGTGCGTATGTGTACTTTGGGGGGGCTACAGCCGACGCCGCTTCAGATGTCGTACAGGCCGACAACCTGGCCGCCTCTGAGGGCTTTAGACTCAGCCACGAGGGCAACTCGGAGCTCGGAGCAGCCGTTGCAGGAATTGGAGATATCAACGACGATGGTTACGATGATCTTGCGGTTGGTGCGCCAGGCGCTGCCCTTGTGTGTGTTGTATTTGGGAACAATATGGAAGAGAAGTCGCTCTATGATTGTGGTGATCTATCACCTGGATCAAACACACCCGGCTTTCACACGTTTACCAACCCGGAGGAGGGTGATATGGAAGTGGAAGAGCGCCACGTTGGGTTCTCCGTTGCCGCAGCGGGTGACGTCGATGGTGATTCATACGCAGACTTTCTCATTGGAGCGCCTGGCTTAGACCATGGTTCAGGAAAAGTATTCATTATGCTCGGTAAGGACGACTGGGATAAAATAGAGAACACAAAACACGCCATCCCTATTGTCTCGAGTCTCCGGCGCGGTGCACTTGGTACTGCGGTTGCAGGTGCCGGTGACATCAACAACGATGGTTTGGACGACATTCTGATTGGAGCTGCGAATTCACTCAGCTCGACCAGTTCTGAGCCGGGAACGGCTTATGTTCTTTATGGCACTGCCTCACTCAGCGACCTCTCCTACAATCAGGGGGTGTATGGCTCTCATACAGAAACGAAGGAACCAAACCAAGCCGGCATCGACGTGCGCCAGCTCGATGGCAGTGATGGCTTTGGCCTTACGGGCACCGAAGTTGGTGCCATGGCAGGTGCATCGGTTGCCTTTGGCAGCTATGACGTCAACTCGGATGGCGTCGACGACCTAGTCGTGGTGGAACCAGGAGCTCATCAGGCTTATCTCCTATTTGGTCTGTCCCTTGAAGCGACTCCTGAAATTGCGCCCCCCTCACCAACAAGCAAGCCCACATCTGCAACACTTGGCCAACCAACGACTGCGCCGACGACGTTGGAACCAACCCCAGCGACCTGGCCACCAACGTCGACGAAGAAGCCCACGGGCGGCTTTCCAACAGCAAAGCCTACGCTGCAGCCTACCTCCAGGCCGACGCACATGCCCACCGGCGGGTTTCCCACCCCGATGCCTACGGAGACGCCCACCACAGCTTTCTCTTTCATATCAGTTGGCTATGTCCAGGCCACCATTCGCATCACTGACATGTCTGCCGCGAACTTCGGATCACTCGAGACCATTTCCGTGCAGTATGCGGTGTACGACATCCTTTTCGATGGATACATCACCAGCCCCCAAAATGTGACCGAGGTGGTCGCGATAGACATCGCATCGATTGACATCTCTTTCTACCTCGCAGTTGACTCTCCCAGCGACCTAGCTGAATCTGAATTTGCACTTGTAGAGGATATCTATACCTTACTGAATGAGGCCGTCGACTCTGGCTATTTTGAAGAGCGGCTCATATATTGGACCGCTTTCTTTGAGGCTGATGGTAACCTGGCATCTCTTGACGCCAACATCACGTCTTCCCTCCTCATTCCATCGGCAACATACTTCACCACATCCAACACGATGCCGCCTACGTCTGCACCCCATCCTCCCACTGCAGATCCTACTATCATGCCTACTGACGCCGCCACAGCTTCCACCGATGACTCAGCGGGTGATGATACCACCCCCACGGGCGACGATGATGCTACCGACCCGACGGGCGACGACGATGTCTCTGCCCCAACGGGGGACGACGACGCCACGGCCCCGACGGGCGAAGATGATACCACAACCGCCTCCCCAGGCAACGACGACGCTACTGCTCCCACGGGGGACGACACCTCCGCCTCTACGGGCGACGACACAGATGACCCCACTTCGACGGAGGGGGAGGGCAGTGATGATGGCTCCTCTTCTGATGATGATGGCGCTTCCCCTGTGGGTGACGATGGTGTTGCTGAAGAGGATGACGACGCTACCACCTCCACCGACGATGCCAACCCTGTGGGTGACGGCGACGACGCGACTTCTGTGGACGATAATACTGCCCCGGTGGATGATGGCGGCGGCTACAACGACCCCGACAACGGCGTGTCCAATGATGACAGCTCCGAGGGTGATGGTGATGCCGCCACCACCACCGACGACAACACGACACCCACTGGCGATGGTGATGACGAGGCCACCTCCACGGGCGCCGGCGACGACGACACCGCCTCTACGAGCGATGGCGGTGACGGTGACGACGCGGCCTCCACGGGCGGCGGCAGCAACGGTGACGACGCCGCTTCCACGGGCGGCGGCAGCGACGGTGACGACGCCGCTTCCACGGGCGGCGGCAGCGACGGTGACGACGCCGCCTCCACCCGCGACGATGGCATCGGTGACGACACCTCCGTGGCTGATCAGGATCCCACGCCCGCACCACAACCTGGAACCGGGACAATCTCAACATCGAGTAAAAGTGACGACGACGATGGTGCAGACTCGGCATCGACCGCATTGCTTGTCGTACCCTTGGTCGTGGGGATTTTCATTATCCTGGTCGCTCTTGGATATCTCTATCAGCAAAAGAAGTGGTGTTTTGCCGAAGAAGATGCAGCTGACTCGCCAGCACCCGCAAGTGATGGCAGCGATATTGCCGTGGAGGGCGAGTCTGTCGAGGCTCATCAGATGCCCGTGGACGAGGCTGAGATGAGTTCTGCCATCGTGAATAGCCAGGACGATCTTTCCATGGTCGAAGCCCCCGCCTCGATGGTTACAGATGTGCAGGAGAAGATAATCGAGGCCGATCTTTGACGACCACCAGTTTTGGCAGAAGGCCGGCTCGTCTACCTGGGAGAGGCCGTGCATCCGAAGTGCGGCCATCTTGAGAGGTCCCGAAAAATGGCCCGGAACAGCGGCGGCTCACCCGGCCCCCGAGAACCACCAATACCAGCATAGTCCACACGTTATAGAGATGGTGCCCCATCGAACACGGCGACTGCGCATAAAAGCAGCCAGAGCTCCGTAAGCTTCGCCCCCGAATCTTTATTTGGAGCCACTCTAGCTTCAAAATCTAGACGCGTTTTTCGCTAGCCCCTGCACCCTTTCCGGGAGTTGGCGCTGGAGGCGGTGAGGTACTTGGTGAGGTGACTGTGAGGTGATCTCGATCATGTCGTGTCTTTTCATGTGCCTCACCCACATGTTTGCGGACCTCAAAGCCACTGGGATCGTTGCACGTCGCTGCATATTCGAGGAGCGCGGGGCCCTCCAAGGTGGAGATCCCACCAGCTGCCATACTAGTAGTGTAGCGGGAATCATTGTCCCTTCAAGGTATACTTCTCTTACTGGCTTGAGGTTCACAGTGCAGTGGATATATACCAGCTTAGTCGCTTACTTGTATCTTTTGTACGAGGATACGCGGAAAAGGTATCCTCTTCTTTCTTTCTCTTGCACACTTTTAGTGACCGATGTGGCGGGATTTCCGCCTTCAATGTCTACCTTTAGCTTAGCTTGTTCAAAGCTGGCATTGCAGCGCATTTATCCGCCCTATTCAGCTCATTATGTCTTTACTCTACAGATACGCGTCGCTGTATCTTTCCCCTTTTTTCTTATCTCACATCTAGCGAAGGCTGCCTTGGTGTTATCCAGGCTGAGAGCCCGCGCTAGTGTCCCTAGGCTACCAGGGGAGATCGGGCAGTAAGACCGTAGAGCGGCAGGACGAGTAGGGCACGTACGCAGCAAAAAAACGGCACAAACGCACGGAGCGAGTCCTCAGACCCCGGGGGTCGCGCCCTACCGGCGGGGTGCGGCGTCTCAGGCCCGGGAGCCGCGGGGCCCGGAACTCACGAGCTTGGTGAGGTCGATCTCAAATCCAGCCACGATGGGAGGATTGGCCTAGTGCCCCATACCACACCTAAGCCAGCGGACATGTGACCCAGCGCAGCTCCACCGAAGAGGCCGTCGCCGACGCCACATCGCCACCAACGTCACCAAGAAAGCGCATCCGATCTTGTGTCTTGTGTCTGAGTCCAGAACAGGGTATCCACTTCAGCTTACGACCCGTGTGGGGGGCTGCGTCGCGCGTGCGAAGCTCCGGGCGCGACCGTCCTCAGAGTGGCGAGTCGTGCGACTCCGCGTGGATCCGGTCCCACGGGACGACGCGGTACGCGTTCTGAAGGCCGTTGTTCGCCAGAGGCTCCGGGAGTAGGAGCTTGGCCGCCAGGTCGTACTTGCCGCCTGGGGGCGAGAAGAGTGGGAAATTCCCGACTTGCAAGGCCCCATCTCGGTCGCTTTCGCTCGCTTTGGCTCTTTTTTGGACGAGCGGTCATCTGTCCACGCGAGCTCGAACTCGGTGTGCCCTCCTTTGGGTCGCGAAACGCTCGAGTCGACGCGAACTCGAATCGCCCCGCTCGAATCGCCCCGTTCCCGCCCCGCTCGCCGCGGCCGTCCGGCGCGAACTCGAAGACGGGCGACCTGGGCCGGGGCGGCTCTTCGACCCGACTTCAAGGGGCGCGTCTTAGAACCGCGTCGGCGAGAGTCGCGCACGCTTCACCGGGCGAACGACGGAGAGGAGACGACTCGTCCGACGTCAGCCGAGGCGACGCCTATCCGACCGAGCGGGCGGGGCTCGCGCGCGCGGTCGGGCGCGCCCTGCGCGCCGGCCATCCGCGGCGCCGCGGGCGACGCGCCCGCCGGGTTCCACGCGCGCTGCATCGCCGCGACGGACGTGAACCTGCGGCGCGCCGGAATCTTCGACATCGACGTGAATTCCCCTCGAACTCTTCAGCCCCCCCCCGCGGGCGGATCGATCGCCCAGCCGCCGGCCGGGGCGGCGCGCGCGCCGCTGTGCGAGACTTTCGACGCCCCGCGGCCCCGGGGCGGCCGGCGAAGCGCTGCGCCGCCGCGGACGCGACGAGGAGGCGCCCCCCCGCGAGCTCGTAGACGGACCCGCCGACGGGATTGTAGCCATCGTGGAGCATCGCCTGGCGCGGCGCGCGCGTCCGCGCGGCCCCGCGCGCGCGCGCCCCGCGAGGGGCGACCACCGCCCGTCCAAGCGCGGGGACCGAGCGACGTCGGCGCGATGGAGCTCGGGAGCCGCGGTGCGCGGCCGGACGGGCCGGGCGAGCCCGGCCCGCGCTCGGCCTCGAGGCGCGGGGCGTCGCCGCGTCCCAGCGCGCCGCGCCGCCGCCTGCGCGGGGCGCGGCCGGTGGACCGGGGCGCCCCGGCCGACCCGGGGGGCGCGCCGCCCCGGCCGGCGCGACGTCGCCCCGGGCGCCGTCCGGGCGAGCCGCGCGCTCTCGCCGGGTCCGCGACGGCGCGCGCGCGTCGGCGCCGGGTATAAGGCGCGGTTCCGGCCCCGGCCGCCCGCTGGCGAGGTCCACGCCCCACTCGAACTGCCACGCCACGGCGGCGGTGCCCGCGCCGGCGTCGAGCGCGTAGCGGACGACGCGCGAGAAGCAGCCCGCCGCGACCTACGGGGGGCGCGCGTCCCGGCGGCGGAGGCGCCGCGCCCGGCCGCGGCCCGCCCGGTTCGGCTCGCGTCGGACGAGCGATCGTCGCTCGACGCGCCCTCCGCGCGGGGGCCCGCGCCCCGGGGCGACCGCGCAACCCGCGCGCATCGACGCGACCTCGGAACCACCCGGCGTCCCCCCGGGCCGCGACGGCGGTCGTGCAGCCCGGGCGCGAGTCGCCGTCGTCGACGACGAGCAGGTCGCCCGACGCCGCGACGATCGCGGCCTGCGCGCGCCGCGGCGCGTCGCGCGCTGGGGCGCGCGCGCGCGCGGCGCGGGCGCTCGCGTGCGGCGCGTAGAACTTGTCCGCGTCCCTCGCGAAGGCGAGGAAGGGGTAGGCGAAGCGCGACGCGTTGAGGCCTGTGTCGGCGACACCCGGTGAGCTGGACAGTCCGGCCAATTCGCGAAACCTCCCGAGTTCGGTCGAATCGACGCCGCCTCGGCTCGTTTTTGGACGGGGCGCGTTCTCTCGGCGAGGTCTCGACGAACAGCTCACGACGTGCGTCACCAGCGTCCGAATGCGCGCACGTCGACGTCGGGTGGACTCCTTTGTTTCCTGCCCCGGGCGAGGCTCGACGAGAGGGCCCAGCGCGGGCCGGACCCGTCGTGGCGCAGCGCCCAGACCGTGTTCAGCGTGCGGCTCGAGACGACGAGGTCGCCGGACGCGCCGAGCGACACCTGCGCCGGGCGCGGGCGGTGGGCGGGGCCCCGCGCCGCGGGCGCGCGCGGCGCGGCGGCGCGGCGCGGCCGGGGCGCGGCGCCGCGACCGCGTCGACGTGGTGGAAGTCGAAGGTCGGGAGGAGCGACGCGTGGCCGTCGCCGCCGCCGCTGCAGGACACCGACATCGTCGACCACGTCGTCGATGGGAACAGCGCGTCCTCCGGCGACGCGAGGTCGAACCTGCGCGCGCGCACACGGGCCGTCGGCGCGGCGCGGCGCGGCGCGCGGCGCCGCGCCGCGCATGTCGTAGACGGGCTCGAGCGCGCCCGACGCGCGGTCCCAGCCTGTGAGGCGCGCGCGTGCGGCGCGCCCGACCGCGGCGCCGCGCCGCGCGCCCCCCTCCGGCGCCGGTCCCGGCGCGAGAGCCGCGCGCCGGCGAAGGCGTTCGCGTGCACCGCGCGCGCGGGCACGCCGGGGAAGGCGACGACGGGCACGCGCTCGTCGGCGTAGAAGCGGACCTGCGCCGGGCGGCCGCCTGCCGCCGCCGCGCCGGCCGCGCGCGCGCCGGGCGCCGCGGCGGGCCTCGTACTGCGTCGTCCACGCGGGGAGCCCCGGCGCGCGCCGGTCCACGCGGCACTCGTGGGACGCCTGGTTGTAGTTCCGGTTCCGGCCCGTGCACGCGACCTCGGACCGCCGGCGGAGGCTGCCGAGGAAGTCGACCTGCGCGGCGCGCGGCCGGCGAGCCGGGTCGACCCGACCCAAACGTCGCGCCGCTCGAGCTCGGTCGCATCGAAGCCGGTTCGGCTCGTGTTTGGACGAGTCGCGCCCTCTCGTCGAGCGCTCGACGGAGCGTCGGCGCGCGCTCTCGAAACCGCGCGACGACGCGCGCGTCGAAGTCGCGTCGCCTCGCGCGCGTCCCGCCCAGAAGTCGACCTCGCGGAGCTCCGAATTCGCGTGCCACCGCGCGAGCGTGCCGTTGCGGTCCGCCTCGAAGGTCCGGGCGTCGGCCTTGCCGACGAGGAGGACCCCGCCCCCGGCGTCGCGCGGCAGGAAGTCCCAGGCCTCCGCGCCGTCCATGTGGTAGGCCCAGACGACGGCGCCGGCGCCGTCGACGCCGACGACGCCGTTGAACGCCTTCGCGCCGGACACGTTGCCGGCGGCGGGGACGGCGAGCTCGAAGGCTGCGAAGGTGCCGACCTCGAAGCTCATGTTGCCCAGCGCGGGCGCCGCGTACCTGTGCCGAACGCGACCCGTGGCGCACACACGGCCGGGGGGGGAAGGTTCCGGACCGAGCACCGAGTCTCGGTCGGTCGGTCGAATCGAAGTTTTTTTCGGCGGATGGATAACCCCACCCCCGGAGTCGCGCGGCAGGAAGTCCCAGGCCTCCGCGCTGTCCATGTGGTCGGCCCATTTTTTTTCGGCCAATGTTCGGACGAGTTGTTTTCTCTCGTCGTCGTCGTCGTCGACCAGCGAAACATCTCCATCACAAACGTTCACGCACATGTCGAAGTGCGGTCGAATACATTCGCGTTCGGCCCGGCCACGCGCGCGCCGCGGTCGAAGCGCTCGTAGCCGAGCGCCGCGGTCGCAAAGGTCGTCGCCGCGACGCGGGTCGGCGCGGACCTCCCGACGCGGAGCCAGACCTCGGCGTCGTAGGTCGCGTTCGCCCGGAGCCGCGCGAGCCACGCCTCGCCCGCGGGCGCGCTGGCGTTTAGCGAAGTCGCCTCGGTCCAGAGTGCGAAGTCGTCGCCGCCGGCGCACCGCGGCGCGTAGCGCACGGCGACGGCCGCTTCCCAGGAGGATCCCAATTTGGCCGCCGCGCCTCGGGCGTCGTAGGTGACCCGCGCCGCCAGGGGCATGAGCGCACTCGAATTCAGGGGCAAGATGGTGGCCGCGAGCCAACTTTCTGAACGGAGATACGGCGCCGCATCGAGCGTCGTCGTCGACGCGTCGCGTCGTCGCGAGAGGACGACGGCAAACAGGGCCGCGACGAAGACGAAGAGGGAACAGGATCGTTGCAGTCTCTGGCTCGCCCGCATCATCGTCACCGGTGCGCGAAATTGGAGTTTGATATGTATCTTTCTTCGAGTATCGCCGCCTTTCGAAATATCGCGGTGCGATGACCCCCGGACTTGCCGCGCCGGTGGCGTCCGGTCCCGGGTCAGCGATGGAACCCTTTTCCTTCATCGATCGAAGTCGTCCTCGTCGTCGAAGTTGAGGTCACGGTCGAGACGCCGTCTCGGGCCCGCCTGGTCTCCTTCGTCGCCCTCGTCGCGAGGACGAATCCGCCGCGCCTCCTTCTTCTTCAGGTAGGCCCACTTGGAGCGCTGTATGCCGCGGTACTCGGGAACTGATATATATCTCGGGTAATTACTAGTAATTACTGGCTAATTACCACCCCAAGTATTTTTTTGAGAGAAATACCCCAAACTAGGGTAATAAGGAACGTTGATGTCAACGTTACGGGGGAGTGCAGTGTCATCTCCATAGTGTGACGTCGCGATAGTGAGGGATTCAGGTGCAGCCCCAGAATCCCCCTTAGCATAAGCCGTGGAGAAATAAAGTACGAGGGGAGAAAGGAGGAGCCTAACTACTAGTAGAGATACTCCCATGTTCCTCCAACTAGAGAAAGCGCTCTACTACGAGTATGCCCCCCTCTCTCTCAAGAGGGGGAATCGCAGGGCCTAGGTTCCAGTAGGCGTTCTGCATGTCCTCCTGCTCGTGCGCACTAGAATTGTCCGGTTTCTAGTCGGTCAACCCTGTGGCACGCGTACTATGCATAGTATGCGCTTCGGCTGCACGTCGATGGAGACAGTCGAACCCGGTCATAGTCGACCGAGTGGACATCTTGTTAGAACCGCGGGCTGGGTACCGCGATTCGAGACGCCTCGTGCGGCTCACATATGTTCGTGTGGTCGGTTTCTGAGAAAAAGAAAAAGGTGGGGGGGGTGGGGTGGTGGGGGGCGTGGGTGGAGTTGGCGCTGCTCGCTTCGGGGATGTTGGGTTACGAGACGCTGGGCGGGGTGGTGGTTCGCGCGGCCGTACTACGCGCGCATCTGCGCGGCGGCACCGCGACTATTAAAGGCCGACTAGAAGAGTGT